GGTACCCTCCCTCCTGCACCACTTGGGGAAGAGACCTCCTTCTAACAGGGACTCCTCTGTTGTTGTGGCTCAGAGCTCCACTTGAAAAGCATAGTTTCCCAGTGATGCCACTGGATTCCTGATGTGTGACACCGCAGGGCAGCATGGTGAAGGGCGCTGTTGACTGCCTTGGGACCCCAGACAGGGACACCATTGTGAGTCACGTTGAACATGTGAGCTCCCCTTTCCCAGGACTGGTGCTATTCTTAGTACAAGTCTCTCCTCCCTGGGACAAAGGTCACTGGGACCACAGTCCATGTGGGTAGATGGATGAGGCGGGCATGGTGCAGGGAGAATGGAAGAAGGAAGCACTTGGAGCAAGGGCAAGAGAAGGAAGCCTGGAGCCCCATGAATTTGAGCAGATGCACACTTCCTCCAGGGGGATTGTAACCAGGAGTATAAGACTCATTGTTTCCACAAGACTTGGAGGCATAGACTTGGATGTGGCAGGCAGATGTGTGAAGCCAGCAAGCATTGCAAACCCAGAGCTGCCTTCATTCCACATGTTTCCAGCATGGCCCCAATTTCTCCTCCAGATCTGAGTGAGGGCAACAGGTTGCTGTAGAAAAGCCAGAATTCTTCTTGCCTTTGTGGCCAGATGAGCAATCTGCATCTTTCCAGTGGCTCCTCTCCCCACAACAGAAGGGCAATGTAGGGATCAGTCAAAGGGCACAAGAGAAAGTTTTCACGGGCTCATAGATTCCCCCATACAGGGTGCAACAGCCTGAGCTCTTGGAAGGTCTAGAACCCTGTGTGTGCCTTTTAGCCAAATGAGCTTACTAGAGTTGTCTGCAAGAGACCTAGGCTGGAGACTTTTGCTAATTGCCCCTGTGGTCACTTTCCACTGATGGCCCCAGTGGCTACTTTTCAATTGAGGTACAAAACTGTGCCATTCTATGCCTTCCTTGGACTGCTGCTCTTCCTGCTTCTCTTCCCTTCTTTCCTTTGGTATAAATAGAAAGCTAAAACAAAAAAGAGTTCATGAGCATAGCACCTAAAACTTAGATTCCCAGTGTCTAAATTGAACATTTTTGTGTGCCTTCGGAAAAACCACAAAGGTTTACTCAGACCATCTTTACAGACAACTGGGGTCAGAAGCACAGGGAGAAAGAGCCAGAACATCAGACTCTTTGACATTTCAGTTTGGGAAATGCTACTGCAGAAGAAAAATGGCAATACTACTTGCATCTGAAGGTCTGTCCTCTGAGCTGGTGTTTGTATCTGCTACTTGGCTGTGACCTAAGGGCAGGAGACTGTCTGTCCTCAGATCTTCCTTACTGTTCTCTGACAATGGTGAGGGCTGGGTTTCAAGATCTATACCAAGCTTTCCTCAGCTTTGCCTCCAAGAGATTGAAGATGGTGTGATAGAGGTTCCAAGGTAAATAGTGGGAAGGAGAAATAATGATAGAACACAACTTAGCCATTTTAAAAGGATCTGATTGCCTTCAGCTGTAGAGGTAGAAGCCAAGACTAGCAGGCAGTACCTTTAGAGTCCTGTGACTGGAAGGTATGATGCCTTTTAAAACTAGGACCTTTTATCCCTTGGTCACACATTGGTTTGGGCAATGTAATGTTGGGAGAAAGTGAAGACCCAGATTGCCAGGGTAGAAGTCCTAACTACTCTATCTCTGATCTAAATGGCCTAAATTCAAGTTAGATAGCAGGCAGGGTATCAGTTTTCTTTGCTATAATGACAAAAAAAAACTCAGGTAGAATTGGAATAGCACCACCCCACAGAATTGTGGTGAGGAGTTATAAGATAACTGGAAAGCATTCTTAGCGTCTGATGTAGAGAAGGTGGCTCCCGTTAGATTTGTTTTCTGTGAAGGATCTTAAAGGAATCCCTACCCCATATTCAGTCTGCAGTGTTGACTCAGGAGTGGCCTAATTTACAGAGTTTGGGGCTATCTGGCATCTCTCTTCAGGAGTGTTATCTTCTTACTTATCTGTAGTTTCTGAATGCAGTCAGAAAAATGTGAATGTCATTAGGTAAAACAGTGTCTCACCTACCAAGTACATTAGACCCTCCCAAAGGATTCTTTGTGTTTCATGCTGTGTTTAGTTTTGTGAGACCAGAAAGGAAGCAGTAGTTGCTGGCCTTACTCAACTCCCAAGAAACCTGTGTGTTGTGAACCAAATGAATTTTTTTAACAACAGGTAGACATAGGAAGTGAAGGTTTTACCAGTGGAAATCCGTTTCTTAGCGTGTTAATTTACTTTTGCTTTACTAAGTATGTTCATTCATTTAAGCAACATCAGTTGGTGAGTCTTTTTATTCTTGAATATGAAAAAGACATTTCTAGCAAGAGGGATAGGAAGAAGCTATACATTCTCGGAAAAATAATTTGGGTTCCATGCTTAGCTTGGGTATGTGGAGGAGGGGCACAGAGAACCACCATTGGGAAACAGCTCCTATTATGTGAAGCATGGTTTTCAGTAGCATGGAAATGCTAAACTCAACCTGTGGCTAGCTCAGCATGTTAACAAGCCTTGAAGAAGTATAAAACAGAATAAATTATACCTACAGACCATAAAGGACATTTTGTTCATAAAGGACATTTTGTTCTTAAGTAAGAGGAATCTTAAGGCTTGTTACCTGATGAATCTCTGTATACTTTGGGGCAAACACATTTGAAGATTAGAGCCATAGAAAGTCAAGTTTCCAGAGCTGGGCATAGTGGTTCATGCCTCTAATCTCAGATACCTTAGGAGGCCGATATGAAAGTTTGAGGCAAACTCAGGCAAAAAGTTAGTAAGACCTCCTCCAAAGAAAAGCTGGATATGAGCCAGGTGTCGGTGGCTCACCCCTGTAATTATAGCTACTCAGGAGGCTGAGATTTGAGGATCATAGTTCAAAGCCAGCCCGGGCAGGAAAGTCCACGATCTTATCTCCAGTAAACCACCAGAAAACTGGAAGTGGCACTGTAGCTCAAGTGTTAGAGCGCTAGCCTTGAGCTTAAGAGCTGAGGGACAGTGCCCAGGCCCAGAGATCAAGCCCCACAATGGACAATAAAACAAAGAAAAAAAAAGAAAAGCTGGATATGGTATAGTGGTATATATTGTAATCCTAACTATGACAGAGGTGTAGGTAGAAGGTTCATAGTCCAGTTCCAGCCTGAGCACAAAATGCAAGGCCTTGTTTGGAAAACAACCTAAAGTAAAAAGAGCTGGTGTGTGGTGGAAGGGGTAGAGTCTCTGCTTAGAAAGTGCAAGGCTCTGACTTCAAATGCCAAAGCAAGCTGGGCACTGCTAGTTTATGCCTGTAATCCTAGCTACTCAGGAGGCTGAGATCTGAGGATCATGGTTCAAAGCAAGCCCAGGCAGGAAAGTCTGGGAAACTCATCTCCAATGAACCACCAGAAAATTGGAAGTGGCGCTATGGCTCAAAATGGTATTGTGTTAGCCTTGAGCAAATAAAGAACTCAGGGACAGTGCCCAGGCCCAAGTTTTAAGCCTCAAGACCTAAACAGACACACACAGACACAGACACAGACACAGACACACACACACACACACACACACACACACACACACACACACACACACACACACAGAGCGCCAAGTTTTTGGGTGAAATGGAAATACACTGGCTTCATTCTTACTCACTCTGGTGTAGCCAACAACTAGCACATCCTAGTGAGCCTGTATTAGTCTTTCTAGCCATAACAATAAATTGGATAGGATTTGTGGGTCAGCAGTATCAATTCAGAATACAAAGGCAACCTAAAAGTAAGGTTATGTGGCATAAATCCTTTAGCATAAGAAGAATTGTTAGATATTACCAGGCCTTCTGGAGGCAAAAATCTTGTCAGTGTTGATTACTAAGACAAGACGTGAGGGGACTAGAGAGAGCAAGCTAGAGAGAGAGAGACAGAGATAGAGAGAGAGAGAGAGAGAGAGAGAGAGAGAGAGGAGACCCTATGGAAATAGTATGAGAGTCCTCATTTGCCCTCTGAGGTTCTTAGGGTGGCAAGTTAATTCCTCCAAGTAGTGAGAAAATTCTTTCTGTGCTTGATATGTGTATGGCTGTGTGTGGCCTTGGAAGGTGGAATGATGGTGGAGAGAAGCATCATGACATCCTGTTGTCTGTTTCCTAGTAAGGGGATCTGAGATCAGGATTCTTCTTGTTCATAGATCAGTGGCTTTCCTTCTACAGAGGAGTGCTTTTAAGCATCGACTTCAGTTTGGAATTGGCAAACATTCTCTAATGAGTAGGGGCTCTTTCTTCTTAGGCAAACAATAATGACCAGGTTTGCAAGGCTACTGATCAAGCTTCCTAGAGTCTACCAAGTTTCAGTCAATACATTTGTAACCACTTACATACCACCCAACATGTTTATGCATTGATTTACAGGCAAATTTGAGATACCACAAATGAGGGAAACCATGCAACCAAGTAATTCCTTAGACAAATCAAAGCCCCCCAAAATAAGCAGCAGGGAAAGAGGGGCTGGGCCAAAGGGAGAGAGATAGATGAATTAAGGGACAGAGATTGGGATGGAATGCACTCAAGAATTAATTGCATATACTATAATAAAGTTAAGAAAAGTTAAAAGAAGGGGCTGGCTGAAGCGGGGTGAAAATATTGAAAAGGGTAACATTGATCAAGATGCATAGTATTCATAAACCTAAATGACACTTCCTTTGTACAACTATTTAAAAATAATAGCAAAAAAAGATAGGATTCCTATCTTAGAAGGCAGACCCTCTATTTCTAGCATTTTCTCAGCAATTAAAATGGACTGACCTTTATTTAAATGAATCAAAAATAAGGCAACTGCTATATTATCTGTTTTTGTCTTTGGTCTTCATCTTTTGTGTCTGTCTGAGCTCAGTACATAATCCCCCCACTCAACACCTGCAGCTGCATTTTCTCCTGGCCAGGAGAACAGGGGATACAATGTAATGGGATTAGTGACTAAGAAAGATGAATATGGATTCAGGATGCCTTATGTTTGCAGGCAGTGGACCCATCCAGCTGTGGCAGTTTCTTCTGGAATTACTCACTGATAAATCCTGTCAGTCTTTTATCAGCTGGACAGGAGATGGCTGGGAATTCAAGCTTTCCGACCCAGATGAGGTAAGAAAAGAGCAACATGAGAGCTCTGGGCTGCGGGAGGATAGGGGTAAACCCTGGGAGGGATTTAAATGGGTCTGGATGACACTTCCTAGGACCAAAGTCTTCACTTGCTCCTTGTGTGACTTTGAGCCAACTACTCAGCCTGACTGAGCCTTCATTTTATTATTGGAAAACAGCAAATATCTACACTGCCCATTTGTTTCCCAAGATTAACTGATAGTACACAAAATGAAGTGCCTGGCACAAGATAGGCCCCTCAAAAATAATTGCCTTCTTTGGCTTAGCTCTCTTTCTAGCTCTGTAGCTCTGTGCATGTGGAAGGGGCCAGACAGTTCAAGAGACCTTGGAAGATTGATGTAATTTGTTCATTCATTCATCCTTTCATTACACAAATGCTTATTGAGTGGCTGATCTATGCCATACCCAATTCAGCTGATAAAAAACAATGAACAAGAGGGACAAGCTCTCTTTCTGGCAGACATGAGAAAATGTTTGTGCCCTGGGACAGAAGAGATGCTTCCTGTTGATGAAATGCAGGTGTGATTTCAGCTTAGCTCTTCCTCTCCACACTCTCCTTCATGCTTTCAAAACAAGTATACCCCATTACACATATAGAGAAAGAGCCTGAGTGTGGTTCTTCGCTGTTTTTCCTCCTAATCAAATACGTTTAAAGCCCATTACATAAAGAGTTCAGCTTACTACATTTTCACCAACTTAGTTAAAATGGCCACTATCCCTTGAAAACTAGAATTCAGCCACATGAATGTATCAGTAGAAGTGGGCATTATATTTAGTGAAATAAACCAGGCCCAGAAAGACAATTGTCATGTGTTCTTACTTTCTATATGTGGGTCTCATGGAAGTAGAGTAGAAGAGTGGCGGGAAAAGGGTTGGAGAGAAGATAGACCATGAGCACAAGCGTTTAATTGGAGAGGAGGAATAACTTTCCATGTTGTTGTTCATTTCCAGATAAATAATATTTTCAACTACTAGAAAGACCTCGCAGAGAGTAACACAAATATCTGTTGTGGCAGACAAGCCTGTGATCCTGATCTGATCATGCCACATTGTATATCCATGTACTGGCCAGTCACACTGGACCCTCTAAATAGCTACAGTTACTATGCATCAATTAAAAATTAAAATACTAGCCAGGTGCCAATGGCTCATGCTGGTAATCCTAGCTACTCAGGCATATGCTTGGGATGGCAGTTCAAAGCCAGCCCAGGCAGGAAAATCCGTGAGACTCTTAACTACCAGAAAACCAGAAGTGATGATGTGGCTCAAAGTGGTAGAGTGCTAGCCTCAAGCAAACAAAGCTCAGGGACAGCACCCAATCCCTTAGTTTGAGACCCATGACCAACAACAAAAAAAAATACATAAAATATTTTTAAAAGGAAAGAGTGACATTGATCAAGACACATTATATTCAAACTGATGTGTTGTACAATCCCTTTGTACAATTACTTAAAGATAATTAAAAAATTGGTCTCTGATCCTCCCATCTGAGTCTCGATGGGCCATGATGGGTATTTATACACATTGGAACACATGGTTTTGGAATTCCTGTAGAGTTTTTCCCTCTCTCTCTCTCTCTCTCTCTCTTTTAAAAATTTGATTTTCTTTCAGGTGGCTAGGAGATGGGGAAAGAGGAAAAACAAACCTAAGATGAATTACGAGAAACTGAGCCGTGGCCTACGCTACTATTATGACAAGAACATCATCCACAAGACAGCGGGTAAGCGCTACGTGTACCGCTTTGTGTGTGACCTGCAAAGCTTGCTGGGATACACCCCTGAGGAGCTCCACGCCATGCTGGATGTCAAGCCGGATGCTGATGAGTGATGGACAGGAAAGGGCAGAGCAACTCATCTGAGACCTTTCGAAGAACAACCGCATTGGTCGGACTCTTTAATTTTTAATGGTTATTCTATTTTTTATTTTCCAGAACTCATTTTTTAAAAAATGTTGTTTTGTTTTGTTTTTTTTACATTCAGGGGTGGGAGCTAAGGGAGCTGCAGCTGTAATCCATTGTGCAGTGGCTGGAAAGGGAAAGCCAGGACTGGTGGGGTGGGGTGGGCAAGGACTTGTAGGGTAGATTTTCAAAGTAGAGAGAGCGGTCTTCTTAGAAGCTTGAAGGATCTGACGTAAGGGAGGGAGAGATTAATGTGTCCAATCATTTTTTTAAAAATCATCCATGAAAAAACATCCGTCTTCAATTGTGGACCCATTAGCAAGAAAAGTTGTCACATCAAGTCATGAGACATGATAATGATGATGATGATGATGATGATAACGATGAATTTGCTTTTGCTTTAAATCATGGAAGGGAAAAAAAGAAGGAAGGAGGGTGGGCTAAAGACAATTTTCTTTGGGGGATGCACTTAAAACCAAGAATTTATATACTTCACTCTGCTTTTCAAAACAAAAGTGGATTTCTGGGGGGAGGGGCCAAAATTGTTTTTGTGTTAAAATTTATTCTATTACATTTTTGTGCCAGTATTTTTTTTCTTAAAAATCGTCTTAAGCTCTAAGGTGGTCTCAGTATTACAATATCGTGAAAGTTTGTTCTTATTTGCTGGCTGAGGACTCTGTTACAGTGGAAGAAAACTTTTTATATAGACCCCATTGGAAAAGCAAAGCTCTGTTGCTGAGGTCAGAGATTCATTCCCAAGTTCATGTGACTTAGATAAGAAGAAGATGGTCATGCTAAACTGAGTAGAGGGAGACAGTGCATGCAAATCTCACTGATTATTTTATGTTTTAGAAATTGTCGCATTCCCATAACTTACGTTTCATTAGAAGATTCTTGGGGTTTGGACTTAATGCTGAGCTAAGACACATTAAGTCTTTGAAATTGAATGTATTTTGCAGCCCTGATTTTGAACTATAGTTGATATAGAAGCACTGTTGAAGTGGAGGAAAGGAAATTGAATGAGGAAGATTAACTTGGTTCTTGATTCATTCTCTACCTGTAACCTAGATGACTTGGAATAAAAGCTGAATGAATGGGCATTTTTCCTCAGGTTGTAAGAAGTCTTGAGTGCATGTTTGGTTTTGTTGTTATTTTTCTCTCCCAAACTAATGCTGTATAATTCCTTCTTTGTGCCTACTTTTCCCATTTGTTGATCCATCCCCACTCTGATTATTCAGCAGAGCAAAATGTACAGCTTTCTTTCTGATATGTCAGCGAGAGTGTGCCTTCAGAGACAACGTGAATTGAAGACTTGCTGGGTTTTGAAGGCATGGAAATTCAGAGGGAATTTCAGTCAAATGCGAGGGGGCTGTCTTTGAGAAGGGTTAGGCAAGGTTTTCCTTTGAAGAACTAAAGCTAGTCAGGTAGTATATCAGATGAGAGACTTACATTTACAAAGGAAATAGTTCAGACTGTGGTGAGGCCTCATGCTTGGATCTGTTATCTTGGCAGAGGGTAAGTGAAGGTTAACTGCAGAAGGGATGAATGATTGGAAGGCAGAGGACACAGGGCAGGCGCTTGAATGAAGGAAATAAGGTGGTCCATAGGATATGAATGCATTTTTAGTTCCCCCAATGTTTGAAATACATAAATATAGTTAACTGAGGCAGTCATCTATTTGTTGGTTGTGTGTATATGTGTGTTGAGTGGGGGGATCTGAGAAAGAGGTTTAGGGGTAAAACTTAACATCAAACCATTGAACTAGTAAGGAAACATACTTAATATGACTCGAATTCATCATATGTATACATATATGTGTGTGTGTATATATATATATATATATACACACACACACACACACATACATACGTATATACACACACATAAAATCTCCAAGTTAAAATGAGAGTGGACTTCATGAAAGAGGAGAACAGTTAGACGAATGTCTCAGGGCCGGCCCTTTGTGAGACTTAGCTAAGAAACTGGAAGTACTAACTACCTTCTAGCAAAAGAGAACTTTTGCTAACTCCTAGACCCCCATGCAGATCCTGGCCTATCGGGAACATGGCACTGTATGCTGACCAATGGGAATGTCCACACAAACAGCAAAGGCAGAGTGGCCCAGCTGTGCAGGTGCCTTAATGAAGCTCTCAAAGTATTTGAGGAGCTGCTCAGGGAGTGTTAGGTGGCATCATTTGGACTACATTGTTTTCTCTTATAATTACGTGATCTTTGTTGGGCACTGGTCAAATGGGTGTGTGTGTGTGTGTGTGTGTGTGTGAGAGAGAGAGAGAGAGAGAGAGAGAGAGAGAGAGAGAGAGTGTGTGTGTCTGTTCAGACATGCAGAACCACAACTAAAATAATAACTGCATTTTCTAGTGAAGTCTTCTCCACATTTCAATAACAGGTAAGGGTAGAACCAAGGCTAGGTATTTCTTCACTGGCATATAATCATTCTAAATCATCAGCTTTACCTATTCCATTTATATTGAAAAACTCCCCTTTGGTGATTCTGTCTAATACCTGCAACCTCAGTAAGCAGGTAAGATGTGAGAAAAATGCCTCATCCACGCTCTCCTCAGCTCACTTGATTGCTAAGATACTCTTTCTCCCTAGATCCGCCATTTTCAGGAGTTGTAGATAATGTGTTAGTTCAGACAGCTTTTTCCATCTGGCCACTTGTTTTCTTTTGTTCTCCCCAAAGGCCAGAGACCACTCCAGGAAGAATAAGTGGGTGGTTTATACACTGGAAATGTAGCAGCATCATTGCATTTATGCTTTTTATTAAAAATAGAAAACAAAAAAAAAATCACATATGCTAACTTCAGAGGCAGGATGGGCAATTCTGTTCAAGCTGGACGACACTGTATCTTCTCCATTCCAGAGAAGTTTCAACTTGTGTGGGTTTGGGCTTTAGGGCTCAATAGTCAACATGTTCCTTCTCCATGCAGGAGAGGGGTTGCCTTACAGAGAGCCCTGATGTGGTAGCTGTGGGGACTGGAGATAGCATTGAACGATCAGATGTGCCCTTCCTCACTTTGGAGATGAACACTCTGGGTCTTAGAGCATTAACCTGCCTAACTTTCATGGTGAGGAATATACCTTCTCTTCTGCCTTTCTGTGCATGCTGCTTTCTCTGTTGGGGTCTATATAAATCTGTTGAACTCTGAACATACATTCCAAAGAAGTTTCAAGGAACCATTAAGTATATGTATACATATACATATATGAAATAGCTATAGAAAAATGAAATGATCTCTATCAGGAATACTACTTCAGTTATTGAGCTTTTTATTAAGGATACTTTTTTTTAAGCTGAGAAGTATTCGGGTAAAAAAAAAGATGTTATATTGTGTTTGACTATTTTCCAACTTGTATTTTCATATAATTTATATTTTTTAAAAGCTGAAAATTTAAAAGCAAGATTTAAGAAAAAGGAAAAGCAGGTGCTTTTTTAAAAAAAATCAGAACTGAGGTAGCTTAGAGATGTAGCGATGTTAAGTGTCTTATGTGTTTTTTTTTAAACAAATGCAAAAAAAATTTCTTATGGGGGAGTTTTTGTTTGTTTATTTTAGTAGCTGATGCTGGCACATCATTTTGCTGGAGAGTTTTTTATATACTGTAGCCTGATTTCATATTGTATTTTAAACTGTGTGAAAATTAAAAAGAAAAGAATTTCATTCATAATGATGTGGCTTTGGTTTGATTCTTTCCTGTCTGGAGGGCGTAATAAAAATAGGACAAACTAACCGATCAGAATGAACTAAGACAAATTAGCCTATCAGAGACCAGCACAAGGGAAAATAATGCAGCACAGTCTTCCTGACTTTGCCAGCTCAGGACCATTTCAGATAAAGATTTTCTGATACAAGGTGAACCCTAATAGGATTATAAGGAAGTCATCTAAGATCCCAATTAGTACAAGTAATATGTCATCCTTTGTAGAATGTCCTTGGCTTTGTTATACCTCACTTGTTCCTGTCTGAGAGCCACAAGAAGAAACGTTTTTATGGAGGACATTTGACTTCAGCTAGAACAGTTCGTGATGTTAATATAGAAAGTTTAATGTCATGGATGCCCCGGACAGAGAACAGAACAATATTTTGTTTCTTCTTATAACTTTGCTCTGTGCTAATGTAAGCCTATCACTTCCATTCCTGTGGCTCCACATTTCACTGGGGCTGAAAATTAGGGAATGATAATATCTGTCAGAACCTCCTCAACCCAGGAACCCATGTCATAAATAAAACACATATTTATAAGTTCTCTGGAGAAAGAATGCTCAGGAATGCATTTTGCACGGTGCCTTTTCTTCGTTGAAACTGTAGAAGGTGGATGTTTTTCATTAACACCAACATTTACAACATGAATCTCAACTCACAGCTGGAAAGAGAATTTTTGCTGATTTGTTCACAAAGAGAGTTCTGTTTTTTATTTTATTTTATTTTTGGTGGGGGGAGGAATCTCTTTGGGCCTAAAACTTGAGGTTTGCTGAGTACACGCTAAACAAGGATTGTGTGGTCTAGTGGTCAGGGAGCCCATTTGGCCAAGAAGGCTCTGGCCTTCATTGGGTGAGTGGGAGAAATGGTTTTGGGTCCTCATATGTTTTAGTCTTCAGCTGCAAACCTGAGCAAAACCACAACTCCTGAGCTAACCTGAGGCCACATCTGAGATCTTCTCCCTTTAAATCAACAGCTTACAGAGAGCACATTTCTGCCTCAGTCAACATTTTGGTCAGAGAGCTGTCCTTCAGTGTCAAATTGGTATTGTCCTTTAGAATATCTGATTTCATGCTGACCAGGGTAAAAGATATAGGGTGTACTTGAATGAAATCGATTTAGGCCTGTGTCTCAAACTAGGAGCTAGAGTTCTAGTGGGATGTTCTCAACAAAACAGTCATTGGTAATCTCTTAATGATGTTTCAGAGAGCCTCAAATCCAAGCCACAGCAGAGGGGTCAGGGGGAAAGATGACATCAACAATCGCAGGATTTAGGAGGATGGGGTAGTGTGAATGAGAAGGAGACCCAGGGGAAAGGTAGGGAGGGACAGCTCACACACAAAAGATAGTGGTCAAAAATCTATAGATTTCAGACACTTTCTGAAGATGGTGGACAAAAAACATTGGCCAAGTCTACGTACTCCTCACTTTGATAGGTTTGGAACAAATTATAGACCCAAAGCTCTGATACCTCTTTCCCTGCCCCCTCCCCAAATTGAGCAACAACAGTGCTCTGTCTGTTTTCTGTTACTATCACAAAATAATCAAAAGTTAGATCCTAAGTTCATAGTTTTGAAGGCCAAAGTCCAAGATGAGTAACCTTTTCTGCAGACGTGGGCCGGGAGAGCTAACTCATAATGGCTAGGCTAGCCTGGTGGTGCATGTGGGAGAGAGATAGCTCACGTAGTGAGACTGAAAGTCAGAAGAGTGCAGGAGTGGGGGATGCCTCCTTTAAAACAAGTTTCATGAGAAGGAATGCATTTTTTTTCAAGGCCAGCTTTAATTCCTTTCCAGGTAGGTAGTACCCCGATGACTTAACACCCTCTCATTAGGTCTTGCCTCTTAAAGGTTCTATGTGTCAACACTGGGGACCAAGCATGTAAGCTTTTGGAGAACACATGCACACACACACACACACACACACACACACACACACACACACACACACACACACACACACACACACACACATGATAATCCTACACAACAAGGGCTTTCTAAGAGAGTGAAGTGCAGAAGGAGGAGATAGTAACTTGTGCTTTGGGCAAGAGGCGGAGAGAATATAAACAAGGTAACACACAAAAACATTCCATGACAGTTGCTTCATTTGGCCTTCACAGTGTTGGATCTACCCGCACAGCCCGCATGAATAATGTCCCACAGTAGCGAAGTGGGGTGGTCTTTGAATTTGGACCCTCAGTCCTCCATGGGTGCCGAATAAGCTGTCTTTCACACAGGAACTTACATCTGCCATTTTATTTCTGGTACGCAAGCACCACACTCATTATTATCCCTGCCCAATCCTTATAGAATTTGAGTTTGTGACCTTCTCCATAGCTATCTGTCCACAGACCCTATTTTCTTGGCATGAATTCTAGAATCACCAGTGGAAGGGAGTACAGGAGGTCATCAAGGTCATCAGAGAGCCATCTGATTTCTAAGCCCTTGTTCTTTCCATTACACCATGTTGCTGCCATACACCTTGAATGATCTTCTTTGACGAAGCTGGGTGACAGCTCCCCCCATGTGGGAGAGACAGCTCTGGTTACTTCAAGTTATATTTCAGCCACTAACATTGGTTGAAAACAGAACCTTCCTTCAGCAAGGATGCCGTTTTTGCCTTCAAAATCCTTGCTGGCCGCTTCTTTTCTCTCAGTGGTTGGTAAAGGTGGTTTATGATATGGTTCCAGTTGCTCTGTGTGGTAGTTTGCTCCTTTGTGGAACCCCCACTGTATACTAAATATCCTTGCCTAAGAGCAAGAAATAAAAGAAGAAAGAACACTTTCCGCGTACTTTTTACAATGAGCCAGACCTTTAAGGAGTCTGATTACAGTAGAGGTTGATCAATTGGTACAAATTTTGCAAGGTTTGAAGTTGAGGGGGGGGGGGGTGGGGAATTGATTAATTGAGAATCCAGAATACCCAACTAGGACATAGAATGGATCTGGGTTTTCTGCCCTTGGGTCAGTGCCATTTCCTGGTTTACTCAGCATCCCAGACCCTTTCAGGGTTTCCATTTTCCTGACAAATACATCCATCCTGGGAAAGCAAGTTTCATTCACATGCCTGGAGTATATCAGTATGTTGATATCCAAAGCAGTGATAGCAGACGAGCATCTGCCCATAGCAACACTAAGAAATCAACAAATAACCAGGCCTGTGACAAGTTACACAATTCCCCAAAGCTTGTGTGAGTTTATGGTCCTTTCTCTAATCTCTCCTCCCTGACATTCAGGCTCTTTTGTGCTTTCAGTCACAGCTTGTGTACAGAGCTTTGATGTCAGCTCAGCTCTGGTCACTCCCTGTGATACGACAAAGAGAAACAAGGGAGTTTTCAGCAGCCTCTTGTGGGGATTATTAGGTCAAGAGATAACCACCATCTTTTGTCTGTCCAGGTCTCGACTCTCATCCTAACGCACTGGTTCTGAGCAGCAGAAGATTCATTTGAACCTTTTAAAAGACAAACCTGATATTTCACCTCTGGCCATTCTTGTACCCTTTTGACTTTGTTCCCGGAGGTGTGCAGAGATGTTTAATGAAGTGACTATAGTTTTTGTATGAACATTGCCTTGGTATGAGAATGCTTTTTGAGGCTAGAACCTTCCAAAAGATGGAACCAAGAGCTTATAAATAGTTTTGGGAATCATGTCATGCTCGTAAAGATGGTGGCTATTCCTCCAGATCTTGAGAGGCAAATTCAAAACTTGCATTGGTGATTGCTTTAGGGATCTTTTTTTTTCTCTGCCAATCTGGAACTCAACTAGTTTTGTTCCAGTTGTTGTAACTTCTGTCAGAATAAGGCAGTTTACAAATACAGTGCAACTAATATACACTAATTTGAGATGCTTATACATAGTGGGGAATTCTGTAGCTGGTAGAGACAATGACCAATGTGACTAGTGTTTTGAGGTAATGGATATTTTATGCAAATGTCTGTTTCTCATGGCCATTTTCCTCCAAGTTGTGCCCTTAGGCCCAAGACGTTTCAAGTAATTGAGGTGGGGGGGGGGGTACTGTGTCACCTGCATGGTGATGGCACCTGTTATCAGTTAGCTACTTAAAAATCCCACATCAGAACCCTAACCATGAATCCCCACCAGGCTTCACGCTACTATTGTAGGTAACAACCCCACACCTGAAGTCCACCCAATTAAAACCAAGGTGAAGATTACATCCTGGTATTTATGAGTCAGTCAGTCCTACTGCTCACCCATTGTTCTGGTGTGGATATTCCTAGCAGTTTCTTTCTCTTCTATAATACTTTTCACAGGCTCCCAGGTAAGCCCAACAATGGCCTAGAGGATAATGGTAGAATAGCAAATGCCAGTTGCTTGAAAGTCCACATTTTATAGAGTCAAAAGGGTTCTCTTTTTTGTCAGTTGTGGGGCTTGAAATCAGGTCCTGATCACTGTTCCTGAGCAATTTTGCTCAAGGATACTGCTCTACCACTTTGAACCACAACTCCACTTCCAGTTTTCTGGTGGTTATTTGGAGATAAGGTGGTTACTTGGACTTTGCTGCCCTGGTTGGCTTTGAATTGTGATCCTCACATCTCAGCTTCCTGAGTAGCTAAGATTATAGGTGTGAGCCACCAGAACCCAGCTCAGAAGGGTACTTAAATATGATCCAATACAGTAACTTTAATTAAGCATCCATGAACCAGAAGTTTGGAGAAGTCAAAGGCTTGCTTCATATTACCGCAGAACAAATTAAACAGCAGATCCATCTCTCCCGTGAGCTCTCACCACTACCCCATTGCTATAATAGATCGAGTCTCACTTAACTTGCTGATAGTGCATTCTTCCTTAAGCTGACACCTAGATGGTATAGTGTTGACTTTATGTTAGCTTGGATAGGCATATCAGCCTGGTAAATGCTGAGGTTTAGCTTGGATGATGGAAGGCATTATCTCTTAGTTTGCAGAAACACAAAATCCAAGGTGTTTGAGATTCTGTTCATGAGACCAAA